CCAGCTAACAGAAGTGGCATTTCACATTTGTTTTCTAATGTAATGGTGTTCCTTCCCATATACTCAAGCTGGTATGGTAACACCGCCCCCTGGAGTGAGTTAGAGTCATTACAGTTCCTTCAGCCATGCAGACTTGATCTTGGCTTTGATTTACAGCGATCCCTGTCTAATTATGGGTGTTATGTTCCTGAAAACCCCTCCATCTGGCAATACTAAGGATGGTGACACAAGGCCAATCTACATTACCTCTTCCTTTCCTAAACCTTTGATAACATAATTCAAATCAATAAATGCTCAAATATGATAAGTGGAGACAATATATTTTCAAATAACAATAAAAAACATGAAATTAAATGTTCTTTATTCTGAATCCCAAGGGTTGAAGTCTGTTATTGCTTATAAACGTCACTGATGCTCAAATAACAGACAGATAACGAGGACGATCCCATCCGAGCGTCAGGATCCGCTTGGACACAGACCCTTCCGAATCTAGCCCTCACCGACATCAAGCTAATCCACAGTGACAGTGACATGGTACTGATATTTTCAGGGAAAGAACAGGCTGCATAGGTGAAGGTCAATGCAAAATTGAAGGATGGTTTGGGCGGGTGGGTGTGTGTGTGTGTGTGGGGGGGAGGGGGGGGACCCATCAAGAACAGAGTAAACAGCACTCCGATCATGGGGGTCCCAGAGATATAGGCCGGCGTGTCAGTCAGTGGAGCAGATACTGACCTCATGGCGGGCTCCAGTGACCCACACCTCGAGAACAAACCCATAAAACCTAACCTTTTCTCAAATGTTCACTTACTCGCTTTTGTGAAGCTGACATGAGCCACTGTAGGCGTAGCAATTCATTCAAAATCCAAGTGCTTAATAGCTCTGTCTCTCAGCCTTTGAAATTCGCATTCAGTTACCCAATTTGGAGTGCTCCAATAAGTACTGCATAAATGTCGGTCCTCCTAAAAGCAATATTTGTTTGTTGTTGTCCATTAAAAAGAGTAAATCGAACGCAACTCATTTGGAGTTTCTCATCTTAAAATGTGCTGTATTCATGAAAACATGGAACATTTGTCAGAGTCCGCATTGGCTTGCTTTCAGAAAAAAATGTCATCCTTTCAACCAACAACAGCCAGGTTGTACTGTGCTCGACAGCTAGTAAGCTCATTAAAAAAAAAAAAAAAAAACCTGTATTTCATTCTGCCTTCTACTATAACTGCACTGGGTCATTTCAGAACATTCAACATGAATACTGACAATTTTCAAGTGATTAAACAACATTATACATGCATTAACCTTGTTCATCTGTTGAATTCTCAAAACATTGCTCTAAAAATATATTTTTTTTTCCATTCATTTTTTTTTTTCAGAATGTAGTTATTCTGCCTCTCATGAAGCTCTGTGATCCATGAAAGTAATGTATTTGTGGATGTGTTGCCACCTAATGAGTTTTGGGTCATTTCCAGCTGCAGAGAGACTCATGACTAATAGATGGTGGACGGGTTTCCTGCTCTTCAGAACAGAAGGCCACCAGACTGACCCCCGCAAGTTTCTCTTTGACGTCATTGAACATGTAGGTGTGGCTACCGGCCCAACGCTATGGGGTAGCTCAGGGGTGCAATGCACCTCCGAATGCACCTGAGTGCACCCCCAGTTGTCTCCTTATATCCCGATGTCTACATAGTATTTATTACGTTTTGTGCACCCCCGTGGATTGCAGTTGTACCCCTCTGTATTTTCTCTTAGGGCCACTCCTGTGTGGCTACCCAAAGGGAAATGCTGCTTATTTTCCATAAGGTTTGACATTTGGTGGAGGGTACGTCCAAATCATGGATGCCTGAGTTACAGCACATATTACATTACATTACATTACATTCATTTAGCAGACACCGTCATCCAGAGCGGCTTTCAGCACAATAGATCATAAGTGTATCCATTCAAGCTGAATGAGCAACAGTGTCAGACCAGGCTAACAACACTCCCAGACCAGCAAGTGTGAGCATGACACTATTCAAGCTGACTTGTGCAACATAATTAAACAAGGGAGGCCAAGTGTACTACCATACATCAGTCACTAGATTGGAGTCCAAAACACATTGCAATACTGCAAGTAAAATAAATAGGAAGTGATACAAGTTAATTTAGTTTCTTTGGCCATTTATTTGCTTGACTTATCAGATTGTATCAACATTCACATACATTATTTTATTCTGTTTTTTTTCTGTATTATTTATTTAGTCTGTCTAGTACTGGGTTTGCGAGACAGTCTGTTCTAAGTCTCTCAAGGCTTTTTGTCCTATTTAATGCAGACTATTAAATACATTTCTTTGAGCATTTCTCTTTCTTGTCCATGAATGCATTATTTAAATGACTTTGACTAGTGGAAAGAGATTATGAGGACAGTCTCTGTTTACCTAAGGCTGACCCTCAGTGAAAAATCTAGAATGTAAAAAAAAAAAAAGAAAAAAAAGTGCCGCCCGCCTTGTTTTCAGTAGAAAGTGTCTGCTTTTAAAGGCCGTGGAGATGTTTTATGCATGCTGCTAAATATGGACAGCGACAGGACGAGGCAGCCGCGCCAGTCTTAATGGCGCGATGCAGGGAGTGGAGAAGCAGACTCCGGCTCCGGGTTCGACTCCGCCGCGTCCGCCATCTCTCGCCCGCTGAGAGAGACGCCCGCATGCTGAGATCCCAGCGGCCGTCACGCCGGCAGGCGACTCGCCGCCGCCGCCTTCGAGCGAGCTCTCCCTCCGCTGTGAGAACACCTGCGGAAACGCGCGGACACGGAGACCCTCCAGGTGCATCAGATATACACGGGGCAGCAGTGTAGCATAGTGGTTCAATTCCCCAGGGGGGAACTGCTGCTGTACCCTTGGGCAAGGTACTTAACCCAGAATTCCCTCAGTATATATCCAGCTGTGTTGCAAAAATTGTAAAAACCCTGTAATTGATGTAAGTCCATCAGGATAAGAGTGTCTGCTATATGCCAACAATGTGATGTAATGTAAAAGCAGCAGAGATTGGCATTCCCCCCGGGGTGGGCTGAGGCAAAGGGGACTGGCCACTTTAGGGTTAGGGTTAGACTAGAGTGCCCCCCCGCGGTGGACTGAGGCGTAGGGGACCCGCCTGCTTTAGCACAGGTCTCACGTGAGCTGGCAGCTTTCTCTGAGAGCACAGGTAGACGAAGCCTCTGCAGCAGGGACCAGTCATCTCACCATTCCTCCTCCATTTCTGAGCAACTGTCTCTGGATCGGAGGGAAGAGAGAGATGATTCTCCCCAGGACTAAAACCACAAAGAATGTCTGAGTAGAAAGGGGGAATAAATAAATAAATAGGGTAAGTGGTAGTCTTGACTGGAAAGTGCGCTGGGGACCCCTGAGAGAAGCAGACGGGCGGCCTGCTGGTAATGGGACAGGCGGTGCATCGATTAAAAAGCTGCTCGGGCTGAGAAACGCTCACCGGAGCCCTGCTGGGCCACGTCCCCGGCGAGGAAGACTTCCTCATCCGTGCAGGTACTGCATGACCCCGTTGTGTGACTGAAGGTTATTTGAATGAGTCCAACTCTCTATCTTGTACTTTGCGAAGCGAATCACATTTCTCTGCTGATGGAAGGGGGGGAGTGAGGTGAGAACCCCCCTGTGAGTTCTCCAGAGCTCAGACACTGTAAGAAAATGAGAACGAGCCGGACTGGGCTGTCCCAGATTCAGCCTCGGTTCTGCCGGGGCACAGAACCAGGCAGGGGGGCGGGGCCAGCGCCAGCGGTCCACCTTCGGAGCGCTGATGTTTCTGCCTAAATTAAACTGCGCGGCATTCAGCTCCGACTGACACACCTGGCTGCTCTATCTGCTATGGAGGTGCCCGCATCCCAGAGCGAATTACTCTGCTAACAGTCTACAGGACTGCGCTTTACTATTATGATCAAAGACGTACTGTGGACAGACTGATAAGGTCTGTTCACAGAGACGCTCTTGTGCCTTTTAATTTCCTTCTCTTTATGTGTAAGTCTCTCTGGATAGGACTAGCAGCTCAGTGTAAATGTAAAATGTAAAATGTTTTGTCTCACCCAATCATGCAGTTTCCTGTCTGAGTTTTTCCATCAGCCAATCAGATGCAAGTGCCTTCCTCTGCATTGCGAAGGCTGTGCTCCAAATGGGATTTGAACTCACAGCCATCTGCTCATTAGTCCTGGCCCCATGACCAATAAGTGGTGGCTGGCTAAAGTCCATGAGCAGCAGCCGTGGGAGGTGTAGCGTGAGGTACAGCAAGAGCTTTAGTGTGTGGTACGAGGCAAGGCGTAGTGTGAGGTGTGGTATGAGGTGTAGTGTGACGAATAGTGTGTAGTACAGTGTGCAGTGTAGTCTGTTGGACAGTGCACTGTGTAGTGTGAGGTACAGTGTTTGGTGTAGTGTGAGGTACAGTGTGCTGTGTAATGTGTGGTACAGTATGAGGTGTAGTGTGTAGTGTGAGGTACAGTGTGTGGTGTAGTGTGTAGTACAGTGCGCTGTGTAGCGTGTAGTGTGTAGTACAGTGTAGTGTGTGGTGTAGTTTGCAGTACGGTGTGTGGTATAAAGTGTCATGTGCAGTGTGTGGTGTAGTGTGTAGCGTGTAGTACAGTGCGCTGCGTAGTGTGTAGTGTGTGCTCCCCCTGTGGGGTGGGGGGGGTGGGGGGGTAGAGACAGCGCATTAGCACGGCACTCTTTACTCACCCTCGCGCGTGCATGAATCAGCAGAGCGACGCGATTAGATTAACGCTGTAACAGCGCCCCACGCCCCGCCGTGCCACGCCGCTGACAGCCACTGCCAAAACCCCCGCGGCGACACGTTTCACTGGAGTCAAAACAACAGAGCACCCGGAATAAGAGCATTAAAGGTCCTCTGAGCTGCTGGCTTGGCTCTCAGTGTAACCCTTCTCTGGAGCCTTCACTTCACATTACAAAAATATCCCAGAGTCTATATGGATTTATTACCCTGTTTGGATTTTGGAGGTAGATCGGGGTGGCAGTGTAGCATGTGGCTTAGTGGTAGGGAGCAGGGCTCGTAACCGAAAGGTTGCTGGTTCGATTCCCCCCTGGTGCACTGGTGTTGTGACCTTGGGCAAGGTTATTTAACCCGGAATTTCCTCAGAAAATTCCCAGCTGTATAAATGGATACCATGTAAAAACTGTTACCTGTGTAAGTCACTCTGGATAAGAGCATCTGCTAAATGACAATAATGCAATGTAATCCAGACTGATCTTTGGCTTACAAGATACAGGTAGATCAACATTAGTTACAGTGGAATTAAAGCCCCACTAGCGTCCGTCTGTTACCTTCTGAATGCGTGGCATACAGATTTTGTTTGTTTTTATTCATTCTTTTTAAAAAGATTTTCCTCTTCAGTTTGTGGAAATGAAATGCCCAGCCTGTGACATTGATGGCTGTTGATTGCTGATGCCGGCTATTTATTTATTTATTTCTGTTAGATTGCATCGCAGCTTCATCTGCGGTGCTCATGTGCGCTATCGCGGCCTCTGCCAATTAGATGGCTTATCAGTCGCGGAGGGTGCCAGGCGCTGGCAGGGAAGGTTGCCGGGTATCATAGCTGATGAAGATAAGACAGTCACAGTGATGCAACCTCCCGGTATGAGAGAGTGTGATTAAATCTACCCTATTGGACGAGTAGGACTACACTTACATCAAACCTCTCATCTGTGCACTAATCGCAAATTTCAAATCAGGTCCTCCCGAAAAAAAGAAGAAAAAAAAAAGCTTGGTGAGAGCTCTTGGTTCCACTCAAGATTGACCTTTCCGATGGCGCGTCTCTGGTAATTTGTGCTTATCGGATGAGCCAGTGTTTGGATTTAATCAGTCCTGTGGTCCGGTTAGCGTGGGAGGGTTATTAACCTCTGTGAGATGGGGACGGGCGTGTCGCGGGCACCGAGGAAGGGATTAATGCACTGTGACCTGAGGGTCTCGCTGCGCCCGTTTACCCATCAGAAGCACCCTTTCCCCACACACTCAGTCACTTCCCTCTGCAGCGGTGATATACACATCCTGATACTCATCAGACCACATTACTTCCTCCCACTGCTCAGAAGGCCAGGTTTTGTGCTTGTTACTACAGGACACACATTGTTGCGCATTGGTGGCTTGGTGACAAGAGGTTTCCGAATGGTAGCCCTACCATCAATATCACATCAATATCGCTGGGTCACAGAGGTGTAGTTTCAGTTCTGTGGTCATTTTTGAGGCTGTTTTTTGTGGTTTTTAGCAACTACGTTTGCTCTTAAATGTCCAGCAAACTGTTCCCTCTGACACATTTAATAATTTTGTGGTTTCTCTGACTGACACACTTGCAATTCAGGCACAAAATATTTGACCTCTCGACCTCAAAATTGAGATCGTTCGTGTTACTTTAGAAATTCACATAGAGGGTTAGTGTTGATTTTAAAATGTATTTTCAAGCAGAAGGTTTTTGGTAATTAGTTCATAACATAACAGCTACGATAAATACATTAACATAAATCAGCATTTTTGATTGCCCTGTGAAACTAACACATTCCAAATCTGCCTCCACATTCGCTTTCACTGAACTCTCGTGTTAGAAACCTGCAAAACACTTTAAAACGTGAGAGTTCTGTTCCCACCTTAGAATCTCGCCGTACTCTAAAGCACAGAAGTTATTCTTTTTCCTGCGTTAAACCGTGCGTGCGGACAGGTATACAGCAGCACCCAGCAGCATCAGTAATTATAGCTGTGGAGTCACAGCAAATGCGTGTGTATATACAGCCTGTGACACACGCACGCCGCAGGTACTGGTCCTAAGCCTCTGTGTTTGCGTGACCGCTCAGGTGCCAGGCCAAAGCTTCAAACGCTGGAATGCACTCGTGTCACAGGGCACTGAGCTGAATAATTCAATATGAAATGGACATTTTATACTCATTCTGATTGGTTGATTGATCGATTGAGCTGTTTTCCTCCAGTAAGAACTGCATAGCATGGCGAGTCTTAATGTGTTTTTAGGTATGTGCTCACTGCACTGTTTCTCATGTCAGTGAAAAAATATAATAGGTTATTAATTAGTTCTTTATAATATTTTAGTATTTTTAATTCCATTGCCTACATCCATCACCTCTATGATGCCTATGTAAACTAAAAATTAACTCACGCATGCTAATACCTACCTTTTTCGTATTATTTGCGCATGCATTGTAAAATATATTCCAAAGTAGACGCACGCAATCCCATCCGTGAAAGAGACTGTGAATACAAACTAAACAGCACGCTGCATGCTCTGTTTTCAGGGATGGATGTCTTGCATGTGTTTGCATTTTTATTTTTTTAGACCAGGCTTTTTTGAAGCTTTCCCAGAATGCCTTGCCTGTCTCGGTGAGGCGGGGGTAAGCGGCACTCCTGAGCGGCCGCGCCGCTTATCTCCATCCCCGCACGCTCCCCGCGCATCGCCAAGGTCACCCTCGCCCCCGCGACGCGCTAACAACCGCTCGCGTCTCCTCGCCATTTCTCTCGCACTCGAGCAAGAGTGTGGCATGCACATTTTGTGTTCTGTCGTTGCTGAATACGGCTGACTGGGGGGGGGGGTTGTGTGGCGTTTCCCGTCGGACGCCGTTATGCTACCTGGCACCCTGTGGACGAGCAGCCGATGCAGAGTGCTGTAATCAACGCAGCTCTTTGATAGCGACGCTCAGTAACGCCGCGTCGCCCTGAGCGCGCCGGCTGAAAGGGCACGGCAGACCGATTGCAAAGCAGCAACACAAACTCGCGGAGGTGCCCGCAGCTCAGAGATAATTGTGAAGCAGGTGTATGAGGGCCTTGGGGCACAGGCTCGTGGCTGCCTTCCATGTAATTAATTAGAGCATGTTCTCCTGTATAAAAAAAAAAAGACACGCACAGGCCAACAGGAAGTGACCTCTGTCTGGCCGTGCGGCGTAGGTCGGGGGTGAACGTGTTCGGTGAAAAATGAGTCTCTACGGAGGAAACTGGAAACGGCCGAGAAACAGCAACCGCGCTTTGTGGCCGGAGGAGATGAGGAAACAACAGCTCGAGGAAACAACGGCAGGTTGCCAAATGTTTTCATTCTGCTGGGACCGGACAAAGATGTGCTAAAAAAGAGACAGAGACAGTCAACGGTACGCTGGTATTCCTGCTTTGGAAAAAGGAAGGTGTAGCTTTGGCTGATGATGGTGATCATGGTGATGATGATATCAGTAAGGCAAATTATTATTAGTAGTATTAATAGAAGTAGTAGTATTAGTAGCAGTATTAGTAGTAGTAGTGGTAGTAGTAATAGTATTGGTAGCTGTAGTAGTAGTAATATTACCAATGCAGGTTCACAGTTCAATATCTTCAATACACTGCTATGCCTGCTGGGAAAAAAGAGGGTGTGGCTTTGGATGACGATGATGACGACAACAACGACAGTGAGGAAGACTATTGCCAGCAGTAGTAGTGGTAGTAGTATTAGTAACCATAGTATAACCAATGCAGGTTCACAGGTATTTTCAAAGGGAGAGCAACAGCAGTTTGTCAGTGTGACCCTAGAGCCACAGTCGTTACTCGACAACGTCTCTCACGGTCTACCTGCTAGCTGTTCCTTCTATTTCCATGTGTAAAGTAGCAGCGATCATGTATCCGCTCAGCTTTGTGTAAACCTCGGCGGTGGTGTTTTTGACAGCTCCTTTCGCGTAGGTATCCCTGCTAAGCAGCCGACAGCCTGGCATCCCTGCCAGCACACTGAATGAGTTCACGCTCCCGCCCCAACGCGTTTCCTTTTGCAATGATGCAACCCAGCATCGCGTAGCTAATCTGGATTAACCTGTTTACATTAAATTAACCACCCCCTCCCCACCCCTCAAAGTTACAGTAATGTTTCAGTTTTTGAGCGCCGTCAGTCTTTTGAGGGAATTTTAAATCACCCCTGGTGCGCTGCAGCGAAAATGCTGCCAATCATTTTCTCCCCTTGGTCTGAGTCCCCGCAGTCAGTGCGTATAATACCTAACATAGACAGCAGCATGGTGCTGCACTGAGGAGTAGGGCTCATAACTCAAAGGTTGTTGCTGGTTCAATTCCCAAGCAGACTGATGCTGTCCTACCCTTGGGAAAGGTGCTTACTGGTACCCCCCCCACCCCCTCCCCCCCTTTATATAGGTGTACCATGGAAAAAATTCTTCTTGTTGAATCCAAGTGTGAAAACACTGAGGACAGACAGCAGTGTTTTTATGAGCGTAAAATTTACCGGAACGTTCTCAAGCTTACACGAACGCATTGCTGCTCAAGGCAGTTCCATCTTAGAAAGGCCGCCCTTGGGAACAGGGCACACCCCCTTCGGTGTTGAAATGCGTGGGGTGAAACCTGCCAACTACATCACAGTCAGCTAGGGCACCTGCTAAGCAAGTCTGCTGTAATACCCTATTATTGCCTGACACTGAGTGTAGCGGTGCAGTAGAGTATGCAGATATAGCACCTTCAGAGAACACTAACGTTACACAGAGCACATGTTAATAAGGAAAGATTTTCTATGTCATCTGAATGTTGGACATGGAAAAAGGAACAAGGAAAAAGGAGGGAATACAATATACTGTAATACACTATATAACTTCCTGGCTCCTTTCTAGACAGGCCATCAGCTGCAAGATGCTTCATTTCACTTTAATTTATCCGTTTATTCCAAAAGAATGAACAGAGTATGTGTCTCTTATTAACTAGACTATTTAAGCAACTAATCATGAAGTCACTTTTAATGAATGATAACTCCTCTTAATCAGGCAGCCGAATGAGTAAAGATGAGTCAGAGTTTGACATCACTGTTTTTTTTTTTTTTTATCCTCTCAAAGGATGAATAAACTTTTACCTCCAGTGAAAACGATAAACAGTTTGATGCAAGCATTAAACTTTAAAATCAACTTGGTCCACTTGTAGGCCTACATGTTGTTGGGTATTTTTCTACAAATACCAACAGTCAACTTTGCTGTTAACTGTAATATATTGAACTGCAAAAAATAATAATGTCGAAAATGTTGGCCGAACTACGAATCGCAAATGTTAGGTTCAGAAAAGCTAAGGGGCGAAAGAATTATTGT